ACAAATCAAGGGCCAGCAGAATTAAGGTCAATAAGGAGTTTTTAAAAATATATTAGGAACAAAAGGAATCCTAACCATGATACTGATCCATTGCTAGATAGAAATGGTACAATTGTCAATAATGCAGAAAAAGCAGAAGTGTCCAATAAATATTTCTGTTCTGTATTTGGTAAAAACCCATGTGATACATTTATATCATGATGATGATGATGATGATGATGATGATGATGATGATGATGATGAAATACTTTCTATTCCACTAGTATCTCAGAAAGATGTTAAAACAGCAGCTATTAAAGACAGACTTTTTAAAATCATAAGGTCTAGTTTACTTTCATCCAAGAGTTTTAAAAGAGCTGGCTGAGGAGCAACTGAACCAGTAATGTTGATATTCTATAAATCTTGGAATACTGGGGAAGCTCCAGAGAACTGGAAGAAAACTAATGTTGTGCCAATATTTAAAAAGTTTAAATGAGATGACCCGAGAAATTATAGGCCTGCCAGCCTGATGTCATTTCAGGGCATTGTAATGGAATGGCTGATACAGGACTCAATTAATAAACAATTAAAGGAGGGTATGTAATTAATGCCAATCAACATGGGTTTATGGAAAATAGATCTTGCAAAAATAATGTAATATATTTTTGTTGACATTACACATTTGGATGATAGAAGTAATCATGTTAATGTAATATACTTAGACTTCTGAAAGGCATTTGACTTGGTACCACATGACATATTAATAAAATAGAACAATACAACTTTGACATGCCACACATTAAATGGATTAACAACTGGCTAACTTTTAATTTTAACTTGTAATTTTAAAAGTGGAATCATTATCAAGCAGCTGTGTTTTTAGTTTGATATTCTACAAAGATAGTGTAGGCCAAGAACCAATCTAACATTTTTATCAATGACCTGAAAAAACAAAATTATTTCTGATAAAGTTTGCAGAGGACACAAATTGGGGGAGTGGTAAATAATGAAGAAGACAGGTCATTGATATTGAGTGATCTGGAGTGCTTGATAAACTTAGCACAAGCTAACAATATGCATTTCAATACTGCCAAAGGTAAAGCCATATCTCTAGGAACAAAGAATGCAGGACATACTGGTGGATTCTATCCTGGGAAACGGGGACTCTGCCAATTAATTTCAATTTTCACCACAAGAAAGGAATACAGTGCAGTTAAATTAAATCTTTAAGGTTATCAATCCAATGCACTAATAATTGGGCTGACCATTTGTAGAATAGGGCTGTACCTCCATCTCGTTTTTTTCCCTTTTATCAATCCAGGCAAAAATTAGCATGTCGTTCTTTATTAATAATCTAGTCACATTTTAAATGCATCCTTACATAACACTTAGAGCTTCGAACAAGAGAAAGTACATGGTTGCTTCTTAAAGGAACACTATTTTATTTAGATTTATAAAATATGAAGAGGTATCCATCCCAAGCTATAAGCAGCCTTGTATAACTTAATTTGCACAACACATAATAGGCTGCTTGTCCTACTCTAAGGGGAAAAAAACAAATATGCACAGCTGACATGATAAAATAAAATAATATCCCTTCTATATCAGTTCATTCCTTTCAAAATCCCTGGGAGAAAAAAATTGGACCTTGACATTGCTGCGGTTGTTACTGGATGTTAAATGATTGCAAATAGGATGGGAGTTGGACCATAACACAAGCTCTATCTAAGGATTTGATCCACACTGTGAAAAAAGTTTGTGAACCCCCATTATAGAGAAAGTGTCAGTCCATTATCTTTATATTTACTCTGCTGAAAAAAACAAAACAAAAGCCCAATCATTGCAGTCCCTCTTTGAGACATGTCAACAGTTGAGACCATTGCTGAACACTAAACTGGAAGAATGCTAGTTACAAGAGGGAATGCACAAAAAATACAGTACTAGTATAGCTGGGTTAAGCAACACTGAAATATATTCCTCTCAGGAACTGTAAGGTTATGACACCCATATAAATAAAGAGGAAATAATACAGTAAAATTCATCAGCAGCAAAGTTTTTTTAATTATTTTGTGCAAATATTTCGATGTATTATTTGAAACACTCTGGGATTCCCATTCTACTCCTTGCAAACAGAGTATAGGTCTGAGATGCATCTTGCCTACCTAAAGAGAAGTGACTGTAAAGTATTTAAGGCCTGTAGAATGAACTGTTATCCTGGAACTGTGGGTAAAATTCTAAAAACACTTAATCGCAACAAAAGCACTTAAGCAACATGGATTTTTGTTTTGAGAACAGGATTTTTGTTGATATTCCTGACCTGTGCCAAAGTTATTCAGTTTACAAACAGCACTTTTTGAGTGAACACATCTAGTGGGAAAATGTGGTAGAGAGTTTGATCAATATCCTGCATTTTTTGCATGTAGAGACTGAAAGTTTTAAATACTAGGGAATGACTGAACGGTTGGTGGGTTGTTCATCTTTGCACTGTGTGTGTGTTCAGTGTGTCTCTCTCCATTTGCATTTACTTTATATTCTGCTCCAAATTATGGTCTTAATTGGATTAGTTACAGACTTCCTACCTCCAGGCCTTGGTGTTTCTCATTCTGACAATTTAACCCTATTCACCCTTGGACAGAGGCTGCCAGTTCACTTAACACTGCCTTCACTGGTCCCTGCCACCAAAAAAGGGAAGAGCCCATCAAACAACTGGGTCTAGCTTACTATTACAATCTTTGGGCCAGAAGATACATCATCCTCTTTTTAGCCTGAGTTCCTGCTCAGCCAAGGAAAGAGCCTCTGTCTCCTGCCTGAACCAACAACAATCACATTCACAACCACCTTTCCATCACCTAACCATCAAAGGTATATCTCAGAATCGGTTCTCTACCTAACTATATTTCCATCTTCTGTCTCTCCAAGTTTAAATGGTTAAACTTGATTTTGTAACTTGCTATTAAACTTAGGTTTTGAAAATCATGTGTTATTAACGAGTTGAAATAGAAAGCATCCAAAGAACGCTATTTTAGCAGTAACAATGGGGTTGCATTAGATACTATCTAACTGATTAATAAACCATGACACTATTGGGTGGTACACCTCTACCCCGATATAACACTGTCCTCGGGAGCCAAAAAATCTTACTTCGTTATCGGTGAAACCGCGTTATATCGAACTTGCTTTGATCCACCGGAATGCGCAGCCCATCCCCCCCCCACGAGCGCTGCTTTACCGTGTTATATCCAAATTCATGTTATATCGGGCCGGGTTATATCGGGGTAGAGGTGTAATTGTTAAAATTAATTTAATATATTGTATGCTAAAAGTTTCACATGACTATCCACAAAAATTCCCAAGGAAGCATTTTTTTAAAAACTGATTTCCGTGGGAACTGCAAGTACTCAGCAACTCTGACAATGAGTTGAGCTCAGCTGCTTGGAGAACAGAGCAGCAGCCAAGACCCAAAGAGCTAAGAAGATGACCACTTCCCCGCTTTCCTGGCACATGTGGGGAAGGAGACTCTGAGCTGGGCCCCATGAGCGGCTTGAAAAATACTGTGAAAAACATCATTCATAATAATCATTACTGAAAATAATTATTGAGGAATTTTATGTCAATGAGTATTTTCAACTCTGGGCTGTGTGTGTGCGCGTGTGCATGCGCATGAGGATGGGAATGAAGGCTATTTCATGGAGATAAAATATTTAATGCTACTACAGAATCTAGGGGTGCTTGTTGTAGTATTTACTTCTTGCCACAAAATCTGATCCCATTGTGCACGGGTATATAAGGCTCTGCAAATAAGTAATGCTTAAGGAATAAATTAACGCTTTAGTAGTTCATTTGTGTGGCATCACTGCTGGATTTCTTTGCACAACTTTAACATAAGAGAAGCCCAAATTAGACTTTTATATTAATCAATAGCCAAATCACATGCATCATCATTACAAATTTAGGAAGGCGCTGTATATTTTAATACAGTTTTAAAAACACCATTAATCTACTGAAGTTGTTACATGAATCGCACGAGTAAAGTTTCAGGCAAAGAAATAACAAACAAAGAGAGGATGGAATTAAACAAGAATCTGCAAAGCAATTGGAAGTCTGAAAATACACATCTGAAAGGAAGATGCAGAGCTTATTCAAACGCACCAATATTTCACTCTCCTTTTAAAACATGGAGGTAATGTGTTCCACATTTTAATGTCAGCCAAATCAGAAGCATGTTACCTTTGGCTTGTGCACTAAGATTACATGCTTAAAAACTATTTTATCAATATTTCTTACATGGTGTCTTTAGAGTTCTACCCTAAAAAGCACACACTGGTATCTCAGAAGAAAACAGGAAGTGGAAACACATTTTAAACATATCATCTGAAAATATTGTTTGGTATTCTTTAAATCTCCAACCAGCTGTCATGCTATGCCCTGCACAAGGAAAGCATTAAGGGATCAGGAAACAGGGTAAACACTGAATTCTTATTGAACACCACCATGTTGGTTGAAAAGAATCATGTCCTGTATGCTGTCACTCTTACAGCAGGTGTTAAAGGTCAGTTCGTATTGATGCTGCTAGTAGTAGTTATGGCACTGATAACTTCAGGAATGAACATGAACATTCTGTGCTCAATTTTTCATATGTGTATTACATAAACAGTATTTAAAAATTAGCCATTGTGGCGTCTAACACAATTTGTTTTCAAGAGACAGGATAACCCCACCACTAAAGCACCTGACTACAGCTGTAAACCAGTGAAGAGGTCCCCTGATAAGCAAGTTGACACTTATATTTTACATCATGAGATGTTATGTTTCATTGAAGACATTTGGGAAATCCTCTGATTTATTACTATGATTTTTTTCTAGTGTTTTTCTCAGATGCTGTTCAGTATTTGATTTCCAAAAGGGACATTGCTTGTGGTCCCATTCTAAAATCCCTGATCGGGAAAAATGCCCATTGAAAAGGAAGTGCAATGGAAGTACTTTTAAAGTAGGGACTTCGGGTCTGTGCTCAGAATATATCTTCCTGCCTGTAGGCATGCAGCAGCTTTTGAATGATATTCTACCTAACCCTCCCAACATCATTTTGTTCAAACCACATTGCTCACAAGTGGGGGATTCTTAAGTAAGACAGGTGATTCAAAACAAGGAAAGCCATACAGACTAACCTACAGTACATCATCATGCATTTTGTTTTATTTTGGGTATGTCTTCACTACCAGTCGGATCAGCAGGCAGCAATCGATCCAGCAGGGATCGATTTATCGTGTCTAATCTAGACGCGATAAATCGATCCCCGAGCGCTCTCCTGTCGACTCCTGTACTACAGCTTGGTGATAGGCACAGGCAGAGTTGACAGGGGAGCGGCCGCAGTTGACTCACCATAGTGAAGACACCACGGTAAGTAGATCTAAGTACGTGGACTTCTGCTACGTTATTCTTAGATTGATTGTTTTCTATAGTCTCTCCCTTTTTTCCCATTTAAGTACATGTAGGAACTATGGAAATAACATAAGTGGTAGGAGGGGAACTTTGTGACATCCACAGCAGCTATTTAAGTAAGAATTAAAATTCATATCATGGTTATTAAATGAAAGGTGTTTGTGATGTTTATTGTTACCACGTATATGTGCAAATGCACATGCATGCACACACAAACTAAACAGGAGGCATATTTTATGTACATACATTGCAAACTTACTCAGTATAATCCTTCCAAGGCTATAACAGTTCAGTTGTTATCTCACCTTCTGGCAATCAGTTCTACCCATGTTCATTTGGTGCTTGATCGAACGCCCACTGATGTCAATGGGAGACTTCCAGTTGACTTCAATAGGCTTTGTGTAAGATCCTTGATCTTTTCAATAGCACTAATTACTTTAATTTGGTCTAATTTGATTGCTTATCTTCTTCCCAAAGCCTTTCCACCTGTATGGATGCTGTGAGACTCCACGTGGCAGCCTCAGCTCAACCATGTCTTTCCCGGTCACCTCTGCAGGGAAGGGCTAGGGAAGTGTGGAGGACACACAGCTAGGCTCAAGCTATCAGGCCCAGATGCTGGTATAAAAGGAAATGGAAACAGACAGTAGGGGATGTAACAGGATCAAGGAAGGAGAAAATGGTGATTGGCTCGGACCCTAAAAGGGGCAAGAACTTTCACTGAACGTTGGTGAGACCCTGGAAAGTCTGTTTGCTGTTTTGGTTTGGTTTGGGAGAAGGACGCTAACAAGAAAAGCGCTCCATAATAGTGCTTTTCTTGTTGGTAGCGAGTTTGTCCACCATGTGTTTTATTACTATTTATTATTTATATTACAGTAAAGGCTCCAATAGGATCTCTGTCCCATTGTGCTAGGCACTGTACAAATATGTAAAATAACAGACAAAGCCCCAAAGACCTCAAAACAGATGAGAAAGACAAAGGAGAGAAGAAAGGAAATATTATCATCCCTTTTTTACAGATGGAGAGTAAGGCACAGAAAGATCAAGTGACTTGCCCAAGATCACAGAGGAAGTCTGTGAAACTGAGCCAGGAGTTGAACGCAGACCACCCTCTCTCTCTGCAATGTGGAAAGCTGCTGTCTTAAAATTCTTCTTGTCCATGAGCTCCTGCAAAAAAAATACCCTCCCTTCCTGCAGCACAAGACCAAGGCTGTTTTTTTTGCTACTATATGCATCTTTGTGCCACATGTCAATACAAGAAAGTTGACACGGCTGTAATGTAGGAACTCTTGCTATAGTTGTTCAGGCTAAGTAAGAGATTCCTTTTTATGTCTTTCATCTTACTGAATGTGTTCCAACCTCGTTTGACTGAACTTACAATTCTTTCCACATGTTTTCTATTTGACCTGAGAAAGGTCCAAGATACACGTAGCAGTATTCTTCTAGCTCTTTAATGCTATGCCTCTGTATACTAATTTGGTTTAGTTATGTGACTATTGGGCCTGTTTTAGCTTTCCTTAAATTTCATTTGAGGCATGCATTCTGGCTTTTGTAGTTCAGGTTCTATGCCAGGTTTTAACCATTGTGTATTGTTTGTGACTAGAATTATAAGCATAATTAAGCCACATATTCTAAATCTCATTTTTAAAGACTCTTCATCTCTGCCAAATCCAGTCTACAGAACATGTTCTCTATATGATTTAAGTCATGAAGACCTCTGAAAGAACAGTGACTCTTGGTGCTCTTTTTACTCCAGTCAAGCATGAGATATTGCAAATCAACGTCATACAATTCATTTGACCACAAATTACAAGAAAACACAAAAACAGAAAGTTCTTTATATGTTATGTGAGCTTTTACTTTAAACAAAGATTAAAAAGGAGACTTTTAGAGCTAGCATTTACAAGTGTGAACTAAAGATCAAATGATAAAATCCTGATCCTGTTGAAGTCAATGGCAAAACTCCCATTGACTTCAGAAGGATTTCACACCAAGGTTCCTGATTCTGCTCTGTCCTGAGTGCTGAAGAATCTCACCCTTCACTTCATACACCAAGATCCCACCTATGTCAGTCCTCAGAAAAGAATTAGAAGAAGTGACATTTTAGTCTTGTCAGCTCTAATAGTGCACCAGTAAATAAAGATTGGTTTGCTGTTTGATAAGAATGCCCAATCAAGTTTACTATAAATAAGGTTAAAAATAAGATACAATACCAGTTGGTGGAATTCGGCATCTCTAGGTGTCAGATATGGAAGCCAACTCTCTCCAAGTTCTTCAAGAAGCTTTTGTTTCTGTTAAAAAAAAAAAAAAGTATGACATGAAATTAGTCAAAGAAGCCAGCAGCAGTTAAATAATAAACTAGTTGCATTAGGAATATAAAAAGTATAGAAAGTTAGTATTGTTTCACTAGCCAAAATTTAAGAAAACACATCTTAAATAAACAAGGAGAAGTAGATGCAACCTCATCTTAATTGAGTTTCCCCAATTTCAGTTGAGTAGTTTCAGAGGATTAAATACAGTACTTTTTGGTATCCTCAGTTCTTCCTTAGGAGAATCTCCCTTACTATACTAAAAAAGTACACTCATCCTTAAAGGTTCTGCAGAACTTTGCCTGGTTTAAATGCTGAATCTTGTTTATTTCTTTGCTTTTCTTTGTTTTCTGCTTCAAATTCTGGGTTTAATGGATGTAAACCCTCGTGTACCCCAGACTGTGGTTTAATAACAAACTCTAAACAATCCTGAATTTTGTTTTCATATAGTGTCTGTTCGTTCCCGCCAAGCAGAAAAGAAAAGGAAACTTCGTCCTCTTTACCTCGTCTCCAATCCAATCTTCCAACTTGACTTCATATGGACCAGGAAATCTGCCTGCCCAAGGAAATAGCTTCATATCACAGTTGTGGCTCATAGTCATCTACCACCTGACTGTAAAAAGAAGAGCTTCCCTCTCCTTTTCCTTCTCATGTTTTTTCTTTCATCTTTGTTTTTTTCTGAGTGGCTGGGGCAATTAATTTGACAGAACTAACAGCTTTCTGAGTAAAATGAGAATGTTTTGGTTGTAATCTACTTAATATTTCTATCATTTAAGAAAATGATTAAGAAAAGCAGGTTTGTAACCTGTAATTTTCCTCCATGTATGTCTTAATAAAATAGATAGCTGACACTGTGTGTGTTTATTATGGAGTTAACACCATAGACCATGAAAGAGAGAGAGTTTGGCACTAGCCATAGAGTTTTTGAAGCAATAATTTTTAAATCATGACAGGCCAATGTACATTCCACCCAATCAGTCAAATTCCATCTTTGCCTGAACCGGATATAAGAGGAGAATATTGAGAAAGTGTAAGATTCTGCTCAACATTCCTGGTCAATATTTCCTTTGCCTCTCCTAATGCATCTCATCTGTCTCTCTCTTTTACCTTTTAAGGACTGTATCTTGTGCAGTACTGAGCATATCACTGCTCATTAACAAATAATTAATAAAAATTATATGGATACTAACAGCAGTTAGAAATGCCACAAGAGGCGAAAAGTTAGCTTTAACATTTGAATACAAGGGGCTTCAAATCCTTAATATATTTCTTCTTTAAATATTTTCCACCATATAAACATAACTATGAGAAATATTTACTTTTTTTGTATTAAAAATGTTCATGTGGTACAAGAAAAAAGTATGTGTATGAAATCAGAAATGTAATACATTTTATAACAATGTTAAAACTATGAAACAAATCAAAAAGCTCACATCAAATTAAAAAAAATCAAAATTAGTAGTTACACTTTCTAATTCTCCTAGTCCATTCCTCGGCCACTGAAAGGTTATTCCCTACACCCCTACAGTTCTTTCTCTAGTCTTAATCTGGCTTTTACTACTTCCCGCTTAGAATATTTCACAGGCTACAAGGTTATTTGTCAAGAAGATTTTCTTGATATTCACTAAATTTCCCTTTTTATAATCACATCCCATTGCTCCTGGTTAATGTGTCCCATGTGCTATCCTAAACTGATCCTCCCTATCCTGGTATTTGCATCTGAGAAAAATGAAAATATTACACGGACCAATCTCTGATCTTATAATAAAAACAGAGACAAAACAAGCTAAACTATTAAGAACACAAATGCAATGCTAGGGTATAAAAGACAAAATATAAATTTTCACTATTGTTGTCCTGAGGTTATAGCATAAGGCAAATAAAGAGTATGCTTCACTTGTGGAGGGGAACACTGAAGTATTATGGCTATCAGGTTGGTCAGACAGTCTGAACCAAAAGCAGGTAGCACAGACTAATAACATCACCACTCACTGACTGACATTCACTGATCCTAACTAGACTGACAAGAACAGCATTGACATTTACAAACTAGAAATGTACTCTGATCTCTCAGTCTATAGTTTTCTTTGGGGACACTTTATAAACTGACAATGAGTCATTGGTGAAACCAAGCAGAATGTAACTTTAGATTAAGTTGGCAAACATGTTAGTGTGCAGCATATTCCCAAACAGTCATTCTTTAATGTTACAAAAAACATTGTATGACTTTTATGTTAACATTATTTATTACACTGAAAACAGAAGGCTGCCTTTGCTGACTTTGAAACATACACTTATAACTCTTTTCTTGTTTGTACAATAAAAGTATATTAAACTAAACAAAAATCAGAACGCAAGGCTAGCAGACAGAGGAGGAGAAACACCTCTGACAATTTTTTTGTCAAATGCCAAGCTCTTGGCAAAAGCACACAACATTAAAATGCACTCTTGAGTGTGGGTAGTACTAGCTCACATTTGATTGTCAGATCTGGCTAAGTGCTGCTCCTCAGCTTGATGTACAGACAAATACACACAGCTGGGTGTTATAACACACTGCTCTTCTCATATACAAGAAGCTGTCTCATAGATGTCAAATACATCAAGCTACTCACAAATTCCTCCAAAATATAAAAAAAAAGAGAAAAATCAAAGACCCAGCTATACCAGCTGGCTGTAGACTAAGTATAAGGAGTGTTACATAAGTGGTGTATTTACAGCAACTTCAGCAGGTGCAGAAAAGGTGGAAAGATCTTTTTAAAATGTAACATTATCCATTACTAAGTAACTTAAAGAGACATTTTTTCTACATCTGACGCCTTAAAATTCTTTGTAATTAACAAGACCTTAGAAACAGAATATTGATATCTGGTTTCAATTAAAATCTCTGCTTGTTTCTTCCAATTGGCTTTTATACTGAGACTGTCTGTTGACATGTGGGGATTATGTCTTGCTTAGATGCATCATCATCATGTACTTGCACTGCTCTGGAAATCTATATACGCCTGCTCCTCTGTCTTCTGAGATAGAAGTGGATCTCTGTGTAAATACATTTCATGGATTGCTATGACTGTTAAGAGACATTATTTAGGTGTGGAGCTGAGTACAGAACTGGAAGCCAGGAACACCTGCATTCTAAATCCAACTCTAACATTTGTAATAAACTGGCATTATGCACACGTGTGTTCTTAGTGACTGGCTCATAGTGAGGATAAGGAAAGTACTACCACCAGTTAAGCGAGCTCTCTGTTAGCTTCAATGATAGAGGATTGTGTTTTTGTGCAACTTTCTCCATGCAATTTTTGTATGTCTATATCCCTTTACTAACAATGAGTTAATGTACCAGTAGCTGTTGCTAAGATCCACGATGAGATGTGGAATCCATCTCCATAACTACACGCCTATTTGTTGACAGCAGGAACAGTAACTGGTGCAGAGAAATGCCCTGTCTGTTACATAATCAGGGAGTGTAATGAAGGTGCAGCAAAAGTACACTGCCTGACTCTACATTCCGAAATATTATATGCCTGGTTAACTGTTTACCAATTAAGCAGTTCAAGGGGGAACACTTAGTGACATTCTCCAGCCAGGCAGCATGGCTGTACAAAAATTATCTGCCTAATGTATCATCATGCAGGGCATCAATACCATTTCCAAATAGATTTCCTTTCCTCTTACTTGTAAAACTACACAACACATAAGAACCCTATTCAGTGTATGTGCTGTGAAAACTAAGCACGGCCTAGTTTTTCAAATGAAAATTCCCCACCTGTGCAAACACCATCATACAGGAAAGCCAGAAGATTGTAAAGTACCTCCAAGTTACAGACCAAGACCTTGGTTTGAACCCGTACTGTAGATCATAATTAGACATATGATGTTACAAGAATTTCTAAACCATAAAATATCTTTAGAAATGAAAGAAGCACAAGTTAAATTTTGCAATGTAGCATATGATGTATGTATCATTCATTGAAAAGCTGATATTTTTCTCACACAAATCGTCTCAATGACATCAAGGCAAGCAAGATTTGCCTCTTAATGGGGAATTTAAATTTGGATTAGGGTGTTCTAAAATAATTAGGAGAAAAGAACCATGCCGCATCATTAAGGCTCTCTCTTCTGTCACTCTCAAATGCAATTTTAAAGGTGCCTATCATCTTTGTATCTAAGCGCCGAGTACAACAGGTATCTCCACTTTTGAAACAAGTTAAACAACAGAAGTGAAATACTTGGCTATTACAAATAATGAACATTAAATTGTTACCATGCCCTTGTAGAAATGACAGCTATCAAATTTGTTGACAGTTACAAGAGGATGATATACAAGCACAGAAATGGGTGGGCACTGCTTGAAACAGGATTAATATGACCAAACTGAATGACCCAAACTAACTCCAAAGAGTTTACAAAAAAAAAACCAACACACACGAAAATCTGGTCGGTGAGTTAAAGATAGCCCTGGGCATTCTGCTGCCATGCATTTCTCACATATGCAGGATGTTACTAGAGAAAAAAAGATCAGTTTCACTACACCAAGTAATCTCTCTGGACATGAAGCAAGACCAAATACACATGTAATAAGTCAGCCATACATTTCCAAAATATAGTCTACAAATAACTACTCCTTCTAAATGTTAAGAACTATTGATTTATAGCGATGTACCAACCTTTGACCTTAATGAGTCACACAGCCAAAATCCCATATAACATTTTGAAAATACAGGAGATGAAGTTTAAACAAACTAAGGGCTTGTCTACACTCACCGGAGGATCGACGCTACAGCGATCGATGCATCAGCAGTCAATTCAGTGAAGACCCATTGACATTGCATAGTGTGGACCCCGTGGTAAGTAGATCTAAGCTACATCAATTTGAGTTACACTATTCACATAACTCAAATTGCGTAGCTTAAATCGACCTTTCCCTTTAGTGTAGACAAGGCCTAAGATTCTGAGGCCTTGTCTACACTATGCCTGAAAGTTGATCTAAGCTACACAATTTGAGTTATGTTAAGAGCGTAACTCAAGTCGATGTAGCTTAGATCTACTTAATGCAGAGTCTACACTATGCAATGTCGACTGGAAACATTCTCCCGTCGACTCCCCGTACTCTTCTCAATCCGGTGGAGTACAGTAGTCAACGGGACAGTGATCGGCGGTCGATTTAGTGGGTCTTCACTAGACCCGCTAAATCGACCACCAGTGCATTGATCGCCGCAGCGTCGATCCTCCAGTAAGTGTAGACAAGCCCTATAAAAGCATGAGCGAGAACGTGGATTTTCCTTCCACCAATACCCTCCTCCCTGTTCTCTGAGCAGGATCTGCAAAGCAATGCACTCCTGGACTGAGAGATTACTCTCATCATATGAATCATTCAGGAAAGCGTTTGGATTTTTCTCTCTTTGATGTGCAGGTGACTTTTGAGAGAAATGGAGGCCTGAGATGAGTAAAGGGCCACTATTGGTCTTAAATTGGAGAATACACCAGTGCTACTACATCCAATACTGCAAGTAAAGGGGGAGACAGAAAAATGATTGAATGGAAAAAAAAGTCCCTGTTGATTCTGCTCAGAAAATTACAAAGGAATAAGGGCAAAGGGAATAAGAGAAGACATCCACCCATCTGTACATAGGTGAGTAAAGTCAATGATGCCTGTCTGCTTGGCAGTTGGCATCCTCTCTCTCAGATGCGCTAATTTAAGACTAGATAAAGGAAGGTGATTTACCACAGGCTGGCTGGGAGCACTGGCAGTACCAGAAGGCTCCTGCAAACATTGACTATGGCAACTGAGATACTGCAGGTGAGGAGGTGACAATGGACCCACTGAACAAGTACCAATGAAGCAAGCAGCTAATTCTTGGTCCTCTACTGAGAGGAAAGGGCTGTTTGCCTGGATGAACAGCAGGAGAAGCTGCTGTCCACAGAAAGTTATGCTCATCCTTCCACATCATTTAGAGAGGGAATTCTCATGATTTAAAAAAAAAAATACCCCACTCTGAAATCCCCACATCAAACCCTTTCCTTCAGTCCAAACACACACCTGCCTATTCTCAACTTATGATTAGCAGCATGCAGAATAAAGTAAAGATCTGTCACATCTTAGAAGAAAAAAGCATTTAGGCAGCTGTTACAAAAATAATGAAATGACCCAAGTACAATATTAATCCTATTGTCTCATATTCTTAACCGTTCATCATCCTGTTCCCTGTTATTTTCACATAAAATCTTGCATAAATCTTTGATGGTTTTTTCCATATATGCTGTATATCTCTGAAACATACAGGGAATAGGAGCCTCCTATACAATTAAACTATGAATAATTATAGAGTAAAAA